AAATAAATTATCAAGGTGTTAGAATGGATGGAACGTTCTGATCTGTTTTTATTGTTATATTTATGGTTATGTTCTCACACAAATATGCTGGAAAACATTGATAAATAGCAGAGAAGAGCAGAGACAACAACATCTATGTAAAATCAATGCAAGTCAACGACAAACTCAATACAAGCATCTTGACTGACTACGAAAAACAGACTGGCTATTTCTGAAAGTATACAATCTGATGTATGTATTTATTTTGAGCATTTAAAAAACACTGTGTCAAACCTGGTGTTGTTCATCATCATCAGACGTTTCCATACATGTTGAGTTCATCCATGTTGGTGTATTCAGCATCAGAATCATAACCCTTAATAATTATTATAATGAATTCTTAATTCTGGTCAACAGTCATTTGAATAGTTTATATTGTTTTGTGAACTGTTATTGCCGTTCTTGCATTTGTTTTTGGAAGTATTCAAATTTTGTTCCACATTTATGCATGTAGCATTTATCATTCTAAAGTTATAATTTAATTGTATAAATAATTACTGTATGTAAATAATACAGTAGCTAAAATTTAAGGTTACACTTTATTTTAAAGCGTCCTTGTTACAGTGTAATTATACATTTAAGTACTGAGTAATATTAATTAACTACATGTACTTACTATATGGTTAGGGTTAGCATTAGGGTTTGGCTTAGGGTTACTTGCATGTAATTATGCATAATTAATTATGCATAATTGTTATCATAATAGTAAGTACATGTAACATGTGTAATAAAGACACCTTAAAATAAAGTGTTACAAAATGTAAATGATAAAGAAAACAGACTGTACCTTGAAAAAATAAATAAAGTAACAAATGTCCTGTCAGTCTCCTGATTGCCGTCTTAAGAATGGAAATGTTCGTTTAGGGCGCTACACTGGTGTACCAATTAAATTGCAGGGGTTTTTTTTGTACTTTCTACCTATATTTGTTTTTCTTCAGCTGTTCTCTGTAACCATTAGAAATGCCATACAGAGAAGTGAATGTGGCTTCAAAATAAATTATCACTCATGTCTTTTGCTTAAATTTATCATTTCCCTTTTTTGTTTTACTACCGTTCCCTGCTCAAACAATGGATTGGGTAAGAATCTAGTATCAAGCATGGCAAAATATAAAATTCATTAAGTGAATGAAGGTTTAAGGTTGGCGTCAGAAAGAGGAAGGGAACTATACTGTAAATACTTGAATGTCTACACTTTCCAGCATGCAAAAATAATTTGGTTTCAATGCCTCAGATCATTTCTTAAGATACATCCTCACGTTCTATTTGGCATCCAGTTTGACACAGAGACATCAAATGTAAAAACTGAAATTCTGAAGGATGAGAATAAGCCATACAATCAGTTTCCTGTGCCGTCTCTTTTATGAAGACTCATCAATGAGGATGAGCTCAAGTGAGGGAGCTAGCACAAATCCTGACAGTCTCCACTTTAACCTCCTGAACAAGAAGGACCAGGCTTCAGACTGCAGAATGGCCTGTATGTGTCACTCGGCCCCATAACTACTCTGGGGCGTGTTTCCCAAAAAGACCTACACTCTTAAAAATAAAGATGCTTCACGATGCCATAGAAGAACCTTTTTGTCTAAATGGTTCCATAAAGAACCAAAGTACCAAAAAGGTTATTTGCAGTGAAAAAAGGTTCTTCAGATTACAAAAAGGTAAGAAAGAGATGGTTCTTTAAAGAACCTTTGACTGAATGGTTCTTTGTGGAACCAAAAATGGTTCTTCTATGGCATCGCTGTGAAGAACCTTTTGAAGCACTTTAATTTTTAAGAGTGTATGGATGCAAGTTCCGTCGTAGAGTTCAATAGAACTAACAACCACAGTTAGCTAACGATGCTTTTGGGAAACGGACCCCTGATAGTTTCACAAAGTCTTCGCTATAATGCACCGAGAATACAAAATCAGCTGACATTAGCAATGAGAAGAGAAATGAATCATGAAAGGTTTATTCCTGGTGGAAGGAGTATAGGCTACACAAACCCCGTACTTGGGTTAAAGTAGAGAAAGACTATTAAAATATTACTCCAGTAAGAAAGGTTTCTAATGCGACAAAAATAAGATAGGCCTTAAATGGGTTAGAGCTCAGTCTGATGTTATTGTGAATTAAGTACAATTGTACTTAATTTGACTTAAATACAAAGTAGAGTTGAGCCAATCAGAGTATGTATGGGGTGGAGCAACACATTGAGCCATGCCCCAAGTGCAGTCTGGTATACTTGCCTTGAACTCCTATGATAATATTATTTTAAAAGGATAGTCACATTTCTCATAGATCATGAAGTACAGTTTGACCAATCATATTAAAATCATCTTTGAAACACAAAAAATACTGTGAATACTTAAGCCACAAGCTGCATGTTTGTTTCTTTATTTTAAAATGATGGTAGAACAAGCAGAATTTATGCAATGCATTTCACAAAAACAAAACAAAAAAGTGATTTTACACTTAAAAATCATGTCATAGTCAATTCAAACTACAGACTCAAAAAAGACTGTTTATGCATTTACAATTCTAAAAGGAAACACTTCATAATAGCATAATGCCATAAAATAATTTGTTTTCATTATCTTCCTTTTATAAAACAGTAATGTTGAACAGGTGGACAGAATGGAGAAATGGTGTGATTTGGACTCAAACCACGTTATCCATCTGCCAGAGCACTTGATCATGTAACATTTTCATCGGGAATTTCCATATATGTTGGTAAAATCAGCATCATAATCATAACCCTAAAAGAAAGATTGAAGGAGATACCAAGGTCAGTCATATTTGAGCTTTTTTTTCAGACATTTGAAGCATATTTTCAAGCTGTAAGAAAGCAAATGTAGTGATAAATGTACTCACACGGTAGGATTTTGGCTCACTGAGGGTGCATGAGGAAAAATAAGAATGTAAGAAATCACAAATGTTAGCATTTTATGATTTTATTTAAAAACAACAGAAGCAAAATAAAAGAACAGTGCTTCTGAATTACAAAAATTCTACAATTTATTTTTCCATTTTTTTTTACCAAGGTCAGGAATCTTGAAATGTCATGGGGACCTTTACTATGACACACTGCATTCAATAGTTTTATGTTTGCTGTGTAACATGAATGTAATGAATTTAGACTTTGAGGGACTCATGTGTTGTTCCAATGCACTACTGTACCTCTTTGGTGACGGCATATGAGGTTTGGAGAAAGGCTTGTTTCCTGACACTGTACATGTGTTGTTCGCCCTGTGAAGAGAGGTTCATCAGTGATACCACTTTAGTGGGACAGACTGGGAATTTTGAAAATAAACCTTTTTATATATATATACAGTATATGCAAACATATTAAACTACTTTCTCATATCTGTTTAATATGCAAAGACGTCTATAAGTAAGCCATTCATTGACAGAGAGAGTTATCATCTTATCATAAAATACTGACTTGTATTCTGCTCTCAGATTTGCATTGGTTCTGGGTGATTGGTGTCTACAACAAAAACAGAACAAAATTAGAGGATAATATTTTTTTCTGAAACACTACTCAAAATGAACACAATAAGTAGTAGACTAATTACCTAGAAAATCGGCTCCAGATGCTCCGTCTATTAACAGATGCAACATTTAAATAGTCATGTAATGTTTAAAAAGTATGATAAATTTTTTAACAATATTCATAATGTTATAAGTATACTTTCAACCTGCCTTTGTTCAGGTTTTGGTGGTCTTTCAGGAGCATTTCCAGTGTACCTGTAGATAGCACTAGTTAGTGGATTAGAAACAAAGACTAACTTATTTATTTGTTTGTTTGTTTAACTTGCCTGTTATTACTCCTGTTTCCTCTATTAGTCCAAGCCGCTCTTCCTTCAGGCATACTAAAACGACTGGCGGAGAAATTTTAAATTTAGTCTCAAGACCAAATACAAAGATACAAAGATAAGTTTAGAAAAGAACACTGCAACCTTGAGAATCTGTTCCAAAATGATCTCCTACATCAGAGAACAGGGTTAAAATTGCTATTAGATATTGAAAGCTTTTAACATGAATTAATGAGTGAAATCTGATTAAATAATGTGTCATACATACCTCTGTTCAGATTGTGTATATGACCCTTGCATATCACGATGAGGCTGTCTACAATCAATAATGACAATGTAAAACTGAGACTTTGTCAATGTTGACTGACAAGAACAGATAAGCATTAGCAAAATCATTGCAAGTAAATTTAACTGAACATTGTTTCATCAAAGTTTCTGGCCAGCTCCAGGCATGACGAAGCGATATCGTGCTCTTTTGGAAGGCCAAACAAAGTAGTTTCGCTTTCACAACGAAACACACAGCGTCTCCACAACATGGCAGCGGCGACAACAACAATACTACAGCGAAAAATAAAAGTTACGCCTTCTTTCTTTGCGTGAACATTTGGGCGGCATTATGCAAATCTTCCCAGATAGTGACGTAGGTATGTGGGGGCGTGTTAGAACGAGACGTTTTAGGTAGGCGTGGCTGACTCTTAACTTTTATAAAGAATATATCTTTGGATTTGAGACTTTAGTCTTTGCAACTTTACAGATCTTCTTTATGCACCAAGAGCTTGTAACACTCCAAAGAGAAAGGAAAAATTGAAATCGCATCACATGACCCCTTTAAGACTACATATATTGCATTTTGTTTGACTATTTACATGTAAGTGAGTACAGACAGTCCTTTTTGATAGTTAGTTGTATATTATCATTGTGATGAGTGGGGTGTGGGTCTGAGAGCCATGGAAGCGAGGCTTGGCTCCCATGGCTCTCAGCACCCACCGTAAATTTGAAGCTCCACTAACTTTAAGAAAATTAGTTTACTCAAATATTTTGAGGTAATAAGCTTCCTCAAATGTTTGGAGCGATCTCAATTAGGTTTTACAGTGTAAGATACAGTTTCTGTAACAGACCTAAAAAGTTAATACAAAAATTCTGAAAGATGAGAATAAGCTATGCAAAGTTACCTGTGCCGTCTCTTGCATATGAAGACTCCAGCAAGCACACAAATGAGGATGAACACAAGTGAGGGAGCTATGGCATAAAGCCCGACAGTCTCCAAATTAAGCCCTTGAATTCCTATTACAATATTATTTCAACAGGATTACCAGTCACACCTCAATAATATTCAACTCTTATACAACATGAAGTAGTTTCTATTTGATAAGTCATATTAAAACACGGACCAATGCACAAACTTATCCCATTAACATCAGTCTGTACTTACTTCTAATACTGAGGAAGGCAGTATTTTCCTGTGTTTTACCACCCCAAAATTTGGCAGTGCAGACAATTTCATCTTTCTCTTCATATCCAGTAGGAATAAAGGTCACAGCGGACACTGTTTCCCAGACGCCTCCACCCATGTGACTGTGGCTGATAGTTTCTCGGGCTGTTGGGACGCTCCAGGTGATTTGGGGAGGGTGAGAGGAGCATGTGTGGTTGACTGAGCATTTGACGGCGACTCGTGTCCCGGGCTCGATGTCTTCAGGCAGGGATGACATCACAGGTTCGTTGGGTGCTTTTTTAACACAAAGACATTACATTAGTTTTGGGAAATGAAGTACATTTTCAAAAGTATGTGAAGTGACTGGTTACATTTCCTCACCCCTCATGATAATGAACACACAGCTGTTGTTGAAGCTGTATCTCTCATTTTCTCTCTCTGCTCGGAAGCAGAACGGCCCGTTGTCATGAGTTTGCACATTATCCATCTCCACAGTACAGTTCTGCTCATCCGGGTTTCCGAGGAGCCTTGTGCGGCCTTTGAAGTTGTCCAAGACATCGACTGGGTCGGTGTGGAACATGAAGCCACCTTTTTTGGCGACCCAAAGAACTCGAAGTTGAGTGACATATTCCTCCTCCATCTTGAAACTGCACGGTATTACCACACACGAATGAGGCAACGCGGTGATCTTGGGTATCACATCTGCCACGTATTGGAAATAGGCTAAAATGATATATAATGAATCATTATTACAGAACTTAACATTTCATTGCCAAAAAGCCTATGAGTGCAGTGCAATACAGTAAAACAAATATGAGAGCAGCTACAAAAGGGAAAACACATACTTTCATTCAGGATTTGATCCACTGGTTTTTGATATTCTGTTAGAGAATTGATATAAAACAATTATGGTTGGTTATAGCGTAAGTGAAGTGTGACATTTGAATGCAGTAACACACAAATTCTATTTTGCATAACTTGTCGTTCACATGATTGTGTAAATCATAAGTTCTCAATTCAGTAAACAAATACATGCATGAAACATCAACCACAATTTAGTATGAAGACATTACAAGGCATATTCTGAATGGTGAATATTCACCATTGAGAGATTTTCTAATTTCTTTAGTTAAAAGGTTTACAAAAAACAAAAACAGATAAAACACTACTATAATAATGAGACATAGAGAGATTAAATTACATACATGATGCAAACAAATTACTCACGTTTTACATGCAAAACAACATAAGTTTCAATGTTTCCTCCGGAAAATTTTGCAGTGCATATCAGTTTCTTCCCATGGTCTTCTTTTGCACCCAGAAAGGTTATGTTGGAAAATGCAACCCGAAAGTAATCTAAATCGGAATGCTTTTTGTTCCACTCTAAGACCTGCATGTTCTCATAGTTCCATGTGATGGCTGGATTCTCTTTCTGGCAGGAATGGTAAATGGTACAAGTGAAGTTCTGTGCGACGCCCTCTGTGACATCTGCCAGTTCAGGCTCAATCGATATGTTATGATGAACACCTGAAATTGAAATGAAATAGTGTAATATTTTCTGCTGTGATATTTAAAGTGAACTTACTGCATAACATATTCATTTACTCACATCTTGAAATTTTGACCTCTGTAGCTGTCACTGTTATGTCACCATAATGTGTTACTGAACACTTAATAGTCGTGCTTTCTGCCTTTACAACACCTGTGCGTGTCAGAGTGATTTTCCACAGGCCGTCTTTAACAGACCCATCCTTTATTTCGTCAGATCCTTCTATACCGTTCAGAGTGATGGTTGGTTTGCTGTATGGACACGTGTGGAAAGCTGAACATGCTACTATGATGGTTTCACCTGTTTTTTCACCTCCATAAATACTGATGCTGGGCTGCTGTGGAGCTGCTTTAATTGACAGAAACAGTAGAATTGGCCCCAAAAACTATTTGGACACTTTAAAATATCAGCATTTCTTTGCATTAAATAGAAAACCAACATGCATCTGCAAACAAGTGATTCTAGAGCTTATCTGAGCCATGTTTAAAATATATTTTTTAACCATGCCACTTGTTTGAATATTTTGACATATAATGCAAAGACATGTATAAAAATATACTTTTGGGGCAAATGGCCTTGCCTTTACTTTCAAATGTTATTTAAACATAAATTGGTTAGAAATAAGTTAATTTGGGAGATTTTATTTGGAAGTATATTTATTGTTACTGGCCACACAATATTTCCCTTGGACAATCATAGCTGTTCCAGAGGAACAATATTTTTCCACAAACATTTACATACCATCGACAAGAACTGTAGCGGTAGCATCATCAGTTTCATAGTTTTGCCATGCAATATTTTCAGGGTCAATCCTTGTGTATAATTTCTCTCCATTGTGGGACAGTTCCAGGTTTTTGATCAGCAGACTGCAATCCCAATCTGATTTTCCATATAAATCAGTTTTTCCTCTGAATTTCTCAATGACATCGCTTGCATGCAAAGGATCGTAAACCTTAGGATAACCTTTAGAGACCCACTGATACCACACAACTCTACGTGGGTTTTTGGGTGGGTTTGATTTATAGCTGAAAGAACATGGTATAACCAGACAGGAACCTTTGAAGCCATGAATGTCTTTCGGCATTCTCACTTCCCATCCCAAAGCATCATACAGCAGAATACCTGTGGTACAAAAGTTGGAGAACATTTAATGGCTGTGTGGTAGATTAAACAAACAAACAAACAAACAAACAAAAAAAGGTACAAAAAAGTAATAATAATAAATTACAATTAAAAATTATCTTTACCATTTTCGATATTTTCTACTTTCAGTCACATAACTAATTAAGAACTATATTAAAGATCAAGTTTTGAGCTTGGATAGACATACTGTTATGAAATAACATAGCATACCGTGATGCTTACAAATTACTCACGTTGTACATGTAAAACAACAGAAGCTGAAATGTCTCCTCCAGAAAATTTTGCAGTGCAAATCAATTTCTTCCCATTATCTTCTTTTGCAGCCAGAAAGGTTATGCTGGAATAGCTGATCTGATTTAAACCTGAAAGTGTTTTTCTCCTCTCTGTGACCTGCATGTTCTCATAGTTCCATGTGATGGTTGGATTATTGTTCTTACAGGAATGGTAGACGCTACAAATGAAGGTCTTTGCGATGCCAACTGTGACATCTGCCAGTTCAGGCTCAATCGTTATTTTATGATGAACACCTGAAATTGGATTGAAATCTTTTATTAGGTTCCACTGTGAGATTTAACATGAACCTACAGTCAGGCACGTGCACACAAATGGCGTTTTTCCACGGCATGGTACGACTCGGCTCAGTATGGCACGGCTCGGCTCAGTTTGCGTTTCCACTGCAGTTTAGTACCAGTGTTGCCAACTTAGCAATTTTGTTGCAAGATTTAGCAACTTTTCAGAGTACCCTAGCAACTTTTTCTTCCAAAAGCACCTAGCAACAAATGTAGCTATTTTTTTTTTATTTTATTTGGCAGCTTTTAGCATCTTTTGATAAGTGACTCAAACGATAAAAAAGGCACACATGTTCCATCTAAATTACACAAAAAGAGGAAACCAAAGGTGCCTAGCAGTACACAATTCACATGAATTAAGTTGGCTGCTATTAGCAATTGTTTAATTTAATAATAATAATAATAATAATTGAATAATTGTTCATTTATGATACACCTTGTTAGTAGCTTGTACTTTTTTGTTTGTTGATCAGTTAGTGCACGGTAAGAAAAATATCTAGAAAAATGAAAAAGGTAGTCATTTTCCAGGACATTATCCATTATCCATTGTAACCCAAAATACAATGCGTAATTTAAAATGTAGGTAAAAACGTGTGAATAATAATTACGGAAAGTTCCTTCATATTAATAGATTTTGCCCTACTTTTACAGACTTTTCTTAGAGTGTAGCATACAAACTACTAATACAGTTTTACTAGTTTACTAGCTAATAAAAATAAACTTAAATTGTAATTGTTAAAAAATTTGAGAGTGTTTAATAATTCAATGTTGTATTTAAAATTAGTTATTTATATTTTTATATTATATTATGCGTTTATATTATTATACGAGAGGAGCGTCTGTACTTCCTCAACAGACAATGAAACAACAATTTTTTGGTTGTTAAAAAAAGGTGCTCTCGTTCGCTGGCTGTGTTGATTTAAATCTAGCGGTTGTTGTGAGTTTACACGTCACGTTTTGGTAACGGTACGGTTCACTTGGAACCTCAACCGAGGTGGTACTAAAAAAGAGTACCAGGTACTGTACCCAGTGGAAAAAAAACAAAAGTGAACCATGCAGTGGAAAAGCGCCAATAGACATCAAAGGGGGCGTAAGCACCATACCCTTTTTCTTCCTCGAGAGAAAGTGCCCTTTTTTTCTGGGGAGTGTTTTTTATTTTATTTTAAATGAATGTGTGTGTGTGTGTGCATGTTTATGTGGTTTATGAGGACACAAATTTGTATAATAACATGGGTGTGACATAGGTATTACAACGAGAAGGTGATTTATGAGGACATTTTCAGTGTCCCCGTAATTCAAAACGCTTATAAATAAATCAGAATGAGTGTTTTGAAAATTTAAAAATGCAGAAAGTTTCCTGTGAGGGGTAGATTTAGGGGTAGGGTTGGTGTAGGACAATAGAATATACGGTTTGTACAGTAGAAAAACCATTACGCCTATGGAGAGTCCCCATAAACCATAAAAACAAACCTGTGTGTGTGTGTGTGTGTGTGTGTGTTTGCACACAGCTGTCGAGTTCCAGAAATGAATGATTAGAATGATCACAGAATTCAAGATATGGGGGCAGACATCAGTATCACGTGAAGACTGGCGTTTTTTTTTCCCCACCAAAAAAGCAGCATGATTCCAAATGTGATATTGATTTTATACAGCAGTTCAAGAAACAACAATTTACTATTAAGAAACTTAAGTTTTAGACACAATATTGCCTGTTTTTGCTGTATTTCGCCAACAAATATAATTCCAATTTGCATCTCTGAGCAACATGACGCTGATTTGCTCCTGAATTAATTAACCGTTTAAATCAGGGCTGTCCAAACTCGGTCCTGGAGGGCCGGTGTCCTGCAGAGTTTAGCTCCAACCCTAATTAAACACACCTGATCCAGCAAATCAAGCTCTTACTAGGCATAGAAACTTCCAGTCAGGTGTGTTGATTAGGGTTGGAGCTAAACTCTGCAGGACACCGGCCCTCCAGGACCGAGTTTGGACAGCCCTGGTTTAAATGATTCGGTTCAATCGCAATTACCAATTTATTAACAGTGACTTGCTGCCACATGCTGGCGGTTTTGATTTCACATTTAAAGTATCTTTCCATTTTTAAAAAAATAATTTCAGATATCAGTATTCAACGTTTTATGTTTAAAATATCAAAACAGTATGAATGCATTTGTAACTGCAGGTTTAATACATTCATGTCCTGCATTAAACAGCGTGTAAATGCATCTAATGCCACTTCTAATGCAGCTTCTGTTTTCTCTGCATTGCAAAGATGAATTTTGTCAATACTGATTTAATTTGCTTGGTCACAGCCCAAATGACTTGTTATTCTAATTGACTGATTTAGTTTAAGAAGTTGACTGAAAGGATGATGCACACTTTTAGAAAAAATGACTTTATAAAGGTAAAAATGCCCATAAAAGTAGGGTGACCATATGTGCCATTTTCCCAGGACGCGTCCTGGCCAGGATTTCTATATTGATCGGTCTGCACACGCAAACAAAGCCAAAACCTAGATATTTTAGGCAATATAGAAATCCTGGCCAGGACGCGTCCTGGGAAAATGGCACATATGGTCACCCTACATAAAAGGTAAAAATCAATTTAAACTTATTGGAAAAGATTAATTTCTATCACTGCTATGAACTGATCACCACACAGAATATGCGGAATATCAAAAACTTTAGGAGTCAGCTGTCTACGGTAGTCCTTAATATACCAGCGCAATAACACATTCAGCAAAATATCGTCTAATTATCATTATCGATGAAATCCCAGATAATATTGAGATATATATTTTTGTCAATATCACACACCCCGTTATATTTTACGTTTTGTTTAGAAAAAAAAAATATATATATATTAGAAGTGCCCTTTTTTTCACTTGAGCTCCTGCCCCCAAATGTCTGTGCACGTCCCTGCTTACAGTTAATAGCACACAAAGCAGTTCATATTTGTGTTGACTCACATTGTGCACTTTTCTCTTGAGTAGCTGTCGCTTTTATGCCACCAAAATGTGTTACTGAACACTCAATTTTCAAGCGCTCTGCCTTTACGACACCTGTGCGTGTTAGAGTGGTTTTCCACAGGCCGTTTTTAATAGATTCATCCCTGATTTGGTAATTTCCTTCTATACCGTTGAGAGTGATGGTTGGTTTGCTGTATGGACACGTGTGGAAAGTTGAACATTCTACTGTGATGGCATCACCCGTCCTTTTACCTCCATAAATACTGATGCTGGGCTGCTGTGGACTTGCTATAATGGACAGAAACATTAGACTTTGTACATAATATGCTTTTTAAAAATATTTAAGTATTTGGACACTTAGAAATATTTGAATTTCTTTGCATTAGATACAAAATCAACAGGCATCTGCAAACAAATTATTTCAGAACTAGCTTCACTTTTTTTTGATTATTATTATTATTCAACTGGTCTCAAGCCCAGTTTTCATAGATGTATGAAGTCAGTTCCTCTCATATTGTGTCACAGTAAAATATACTTAATTTTAACATAAAACACATTTCACAAAGTTTGACAGCCAGAAAGTGTCCGAGACTTTTTGTCTTCACTTTGAAAAATATCTATAGGCTATCTCTATATAACTTAAACTTCTCATTTCATTAAATTAAACTGAAAAGTGCTTATTTTTTATTGTCTTGAGTATACATACACCTTTTCGGGCAAATTGCCTTGCCTTTATTTTGAAATGTTTAAATAAAACTTTTTCAGGCAAATTGCCTTGCCTTTATTTTGAAATGTTTTAATAAACTAGTTAGAAGGAAGTCAATTTTCCAAAACTATTTACACACCATCGATAAGAATTGTAGAGGTAACATCATAAAATTTGTAGGTGCTCTTTCCAACATTTTCAGGGTCAATCCATGTGTATAATTTCTGTCCATGATGGGACAGTTCCAGTCCCGTAATCAGCAGACTACAATCCCAATTTGAAGGATTACCATATAAACGTGTTTGCCTTCTGAACTTCCAAATGACTTTATTTGGATACCATGGATCGTAAACTAAAGGATAACCTCTAGAGACCCACTGATACCACACAACTCTACGTGGGTTTTTGGGTGGGTATGATGTGTAGTAGAAAGAACATGGTATAACCAGACAGGAACCTTTGAGGCCGTGAATTTCCTTTGGCATTCTCACATACCATGCCAAAGCATCATTCAGCAGAACACCTGTGGGATAAAAGTTGGAGAACATTATTGGATGAGTTGTAGCTTTTCAAAAATAGTTCTCTTTTTGTTCCCTGGTTTTCAGTCAGTCACGATTAACATTATGCCGACACTGACATTAGGGGTGTCACTTGTGAGCCCCAATCACCTCTGAGCATTACGAGAAACGCCCAATGACAATTGGCGAGTGGAATTTGCATGCTAAGCCACTCCCCGTACATACGGGTATATAATATATATAACGCAGTTCACGGTTGTGGCATGAGGGACATAACGTCCCTGTTCCCTCCTTCAGGGAACGAGGGGTACATATGTAACCGAGACATTCCCTTTCAATCAATCACATTCGACGTTACGTCGACATTGACGTTACGGGTCCCTATGGAAAACGCCACAAGCAGAACTGTGTTATGAAAATTGAAGGTGCAGGTGCAACGTTTTCAAAGGAAAACACACACACACATACACATGTCTCTTTGCTGAGCCGCGGCGGTCTCGGTGAATCAGCAGCATCCACAACTGAACGGAACAAAAAGTGTTGAACTTGAAAATTGTTTATGCGCGAGTGCACTTGCTAAATGAAGGCGGATTGTATAAAATGGATTTAAAAAAAATTTAAATAAAAAAAACAGTTGTTTTCACAGAAAAACAGAAACGTTTGGAAACATGAAGACATTAAACATACGATTGCAACAATATATGGTTTATTTGTGTTTGTCAAGTCATCTCCAGGTAATAAATAAAGTATATGAACAATGCAGTGCTAATTGACATAGCATTTATTACAGTATAGAAACTATTCTGCCTTGTGTGATTAAAAAAAAGTGTTTGTAGTATATAAACAAATCCTTATTATTGGTTATTGTCCAGCAGTTATCTGGTTTCTAAGCCAATTAAAAGCTAGAAATGAGAGAAAAATTTACGTTGCCTATACACTACCAGTCAAAAGTTTTTGAACAGAAAGATTGTTCATGTTTTTTAAAGAAGTCTCTTCTGTTTACCAAGCCTACATTTATTTGATCCAAAGTACAGCAAAACAGTACAATTTTGAAATATTTTTACTAGGCTATTTAAAATAGCTGTTTTCTATTTGAATATATTTTAAAATGTCATTTATTGTGATTTCAAAGCTGAATATTTAGCATAATTTTATATGCTAAAATTATATGCATATATATGCAGTCCCACGATCCTTCAGAAATGATTCTGATTTGCTGCTCAAAAAACATTTATTATTATTATGATGTTTAAAACAGCTGAGTAGAATTTGTTCAGGTTTCTTTGATGAATAGAAAGTCCAGAAGAACCGCATTTATCTGAAATAGAAATCTTTTGTAACATTATAAATGTCTTTATCATCACTTTTGATCAATTTAAAGCATCCTTGCTAAATAAAAGTGTTGATTTCTATAATTTTTTTTAATTTTTTTAATTATACTGACTTTAAGCTTTTGAATGGTATAGTGTATAATGCTACAAAAGCTTTTTATTTCACGTAAATACTGATCTTTGGATCCTTCTATTCATCAAAGAATCCTGAAAAAATTTACTCAACTGTTTTAAATATTGATAATAATAATAATAATAATAATAATAATAATTAAAAAAGGTTTATTGAGCAGCAAATCAACATATTAGAATGATTTCTGAAGGATGTGACACTGAAGACTGCAGTAATGATGCTGCAAATTCAGCTTTGATCACAGAAATCATTTAAAAATATATTCAAATAGAAAACAGTTATTTTAAATAGTAAAAATATTTCACAACATTGCTGCTTTTGCTGTACTTTGGATCAAATAAATGCAGGTTTGGTGAGCAGAAGAGACTTCTTAAAACATTAAAAATCTTACTGTTCAAAAACTGTTGACAGGTAGGTTACAGAAATGTTATATTGTAATGTTTATATATATATATATACTTCTGAAATGATGGCTACGCCCCTGCCACGGGTCATCAATAAGGTGCAGATTGATGCTTGAAGAATGCACTTTCAGCAGCCATGATAAACAGTTGGTATCACATAAAAAGTATATGGGCTTAAAGAGAAGCCAAAAAAGGATTTCAGCAACCGTTATCCAAATATGAACGTGAATAGTAAGACTGGTCGCAACACAGTCAAACAAACTGTCGTGACTGCCAGTTCAAGGGAACACAACAGGGACTGGCAGTAAACAACTGTCTAGGGAAGACACAAGTTTACCAAGGGAAACCATACCGTGGAAGAACATACAGGATTACTAAGGGAATCTCATGTATGGAACCAAGTCCAGTAAAAGATGGTGACTAATGGCATGCAACCCAAATACTGGATGCGGGTTCACCAGGTGAGGAACTTACTGGAAGAAGATAAGTGCATGTATCCTAACCAGAGGAATGGTGCTGCAAGCGAGACACCAAGCCAGACCTCCCACAAATTACCTGTTTGTACCCAAAAGTATGTAAAATTACTTATAAACACATAAGTAATTGAAAATCTATAATACATTTGAAAAAAAAGTCACCACAGTAAATACAGATATCTCATTAAAACATTATTTTAATGATACAAAATGGAAGACTATATCTAAGTAGTATATATGCTTTTGCTTTGCCTTTCACTCTGCAGCTCAAGAATGCTTGCATTTTGGGATCATACAAAGTTAGTAAATTATGTGATGTTTTGCACACATTTTTCTTGGATGGAGGTGGACTTCCAGTTTTCAGGTGGAGTCATATCATATCGCTTCATACTGTACATTCAGAGGGTGTGGCCCACTCAGGGGCGGATTTAGTGAATTGGGGGCCCCAGGCCCTATACATTTGCACGCATTTTCCTAGATCAGACTTGAGGTTCCTTTTTTGTTGTGATGCTTGCTGCTGCACAATGGTGCCCCATAGTTGTGTCCAATGTTTCTACATTTTTCATGTACATGTTATAATGGCTTTCTTTCATGTTTTTTCAAATGATCAGTGAGAGCAGGACGAATGTGTCACGTTTTAAACTCAACAAAATGGTAAAATACATATATCAAGAGCATGCTCACAGATGAGAACAAAACAGCGTTGGATGAAGTGGATTAGAGCCCTGCATGCACGGGTCTCAAATATAGGCCTTTTTCCCCCTTTTCCCCCCAAAAAAAGCTTATACTACTGTTTCAGCTATTAAAATTGTTCAGTTGTGTATGTAATGAAAAAGTGATTATATTTCGTTTCGTTTTTTCTTATAAAGTAAATTTAGAAAAACGTTTGGAGCATTTTTTGTTCGTTTCGTTCAGAGAGGGGAAGCTGAAGCGCGCTGGCAGCTCGATCACTTGCATTTTTTTCTAACAGTGGAAACAACTTACAATACGCAGTCATTTTTGCTCATAAAGGTAAGAGTAATACATCATTCTAAACTGTAAAGGGTCTAGTTTTATTTGTGTGCACTCACAATATCAACAAAATGTTATGCTTTTATAAAATAAAGAAAACATACGCTTTCTGCCGTCTCCAAACTCAGCGAATTGCCTCACAGACATGATTCAAATTATATAGAATGCTTTAAATTATTACTTTAAAACGAAATAATTCAAATAGAAAATAGAAACTCTTTCATTATGTAATCCCTGCATTTCTCTCTAAAGGCACATGCAACGAGGAGATGGCGAGAAATGTTTTTTTCATCACCATAATTGATGGATGTCTAAAATATAAAAATAAGGAAAAGCCTAAAACAGGCCTGATTATAATTTGCATTTTATTTTATAATTCCGTATAAGAATTCCGTACAATTAAAAAATAAAACACAAATTATAATGGCATATATGTACAATTTTGTCCTATAACTGTAGCCTAGATGCTTATATTTTCAGATTTTTATGATGCTCTGTTCTGAATACCTTAAATGTGAATAATTTATTAGCCTATTTTTTTTTTTATCCATGCTTTAAAAACTGCTTTAAAATTACTTTATTGCGTTTCAGACGCTTTTAAAGTAGCCTACTTTTCACTATACATTTTACGGGTAGCTTGAATGTAAACATTATCATGAATTCGTTGTATTCCCATTTGTAAAATAGTCAACAAATTCATTGTTGTAGGCTAACCCGATCTCATGAAAGTGCGTATAGCACGATTTTCTGCTTCTATTTGGCGTCATATTTCCATGCAGAAATTTACTTTGGCATGCAAAAGACTGATAAATTCATAATTAATGTCATGGCTATACCTTTGCCTAATTGGTAAGTCCGCCCCTGGGCCCACTTGAAATCAGTGATACTGATTGGCTTTACTACTACAAGTGATACATGTACGATTCCATCATTCGCCTCTGCAGTTACAGTTAAAAAATCTAAAAAAAATCTAAAAACATGTCGAAAATGATTGGATTGGAAAGATCACTTGACACATTAAACTACCCTCCCTGTTGCTCAAAAAGTCTGACGATATTGGTTGAATTTGCACTAATCATTTGAAATTAAGTTGTTGTTAAGAATTCCTTCATGACATGAAATTTAGCCACAGACTTTATGGTGTGTAACCATTAGACCCAGTAAAATTACCAAGAACCGATACAAGAAAAGACAACAACATTCATAAAGACACTAAATAACCTGACCTGAAAAGCTGCAGAGGTCACATAATTAAAAAAAGAGTGATAGATTTTAATGCTGTACACCCTTATCAGATGCACCTAATGTATGAAGAAGAGAAACAGAAAAGAGATGAATTACCTTGTAAAAGCAAATGAACTACCAGAGGCCCCATCATGTTCCTGGGTTTGCCCTTAAGTGAAATCAAAAACAACTATTGTTTTATGTGTACAAAATTAATTACATTTTTAATTACATTACAAAATATAACATTTCAAAATAAAGTCACCCAATAAACAACAGAAATCTCACCCAAGGGACTTTCTGTGGCACACATCCTCAATATCTATTTTCAGTTATTCTTATCAGATTTGGAGCATCAAATCAATAAAACAGGGTTCTAAAATGTATGACTTGAAACCTTAAGTTGCCAGTTAAATTAAATGTATCCTACAGTATCCTAAAATCTTGGTCATGATAAATCAGATATAATATACCCTCATCTTTGTTTTTATTCTTACCTTACCTTAATCCAGTTTCAAATCGTTTGGATGAAAAAAGCCTACACCATGTACTTCAAAATGCAAGAACCTGAGAGCCCAAGGCAAAAGTACTGTTTGGTTATGCAAGAAAGATTCTATAAGAGGAAGTGTGAATTATACCCCCACTCTTAATAAACCATTGCTTTTTCAGTCTCTAGCCCATCCCACTGCCACTTTAACTGAGGTAAGGTGTTGAAGCATCTTGTTTTAAAATGACATGCTTGATAAAGCATGACAGACACTATGCAAAAAAAGATTTTTTAAATTGATTTGCTGAGGCATTACATACATCCTAAAATCAAGTCCTTTAAAAGCATCTAAAATACATTCTAATACCTAATGTTTACAAAATGTTTATTCCGGTCAGTGATACTGTTTTATGTTTTAGGAGTATCAGATAAAAATGACCTGGGTCACATTTCCCAAAAGCATCGAAAGTTGATTATTTTAGAATCACAGGCTGCTTCCCAAAAGCATTGTAAGTGAAGTAATACTTGAAAATCCTTGCAGATCTATGAGTGCTCTGCAGTAAGAGTGCTAAAGTGCATAGTAAGGCCCAGCAAGTACACTGATTTTTGTGATTGATACAATACAATTTGTTAGAAAAAAA